CACGCGCCCAGAAATTTGAGAGGTAAAGCTACTCAGGGATTTGAAGAGAAACTGAAGGAGGAAAATTCTAAAAATATATATGTATATATTTGTTACCTATACCAGAGGAAACTTTTTAGATTTGTACGCAACCACCACATGCTCTTAAATTGCATTTCGACTTAAATGTGCATATATGTATATATCCCATTTCAATTTCGGCCATTTGCCATTTGAAAAGCATTCCAAATAGTTCGAAACTTTTCCCTTTGTCACCTAAAAACTTTATCCTCGAAGGAGCATCCCAGCATCCCAGGGTCCTTGCATTCCCACATCACTTATTGTTACTGTCGAAAATTCCTTTTCCACATTTGCCATCGAACTTTGCGGCCCAAAAACTTACACAACCTGCCAAATCCTTTGGCCAGCTAAGGGCCAGGGGAAGGTGAGCGGACGAGCCAATCTCTTTTTAAGCTGTTCGAGGACCAACAAAAAAAAAGGGGGAAACTTTCGCTTTGTTGTTGCCCAGGACGATCAACGCCAGAAGTTTAGTCCTTGCAGGGTGAGAGGGGAGAAAAGTTCTAAAAAGTTCCGGTATTAAGTCCATTTAACCCGCCATTGAACTTTACGCCTCAACGGCCGGCTAATGCAACAAAAACTGCAGGATCCACGTAGAGGGCGAGGCTTGAGAACTTGCATAGTAACCAGCCAAAGGACCAGCAAGGACAACAAAGTAAATGAGTAGCAGGCAGAAAAAAATACGGAAAATGAAACGAAAAAAGAAGAAACTTTTGTGGCAACAGAATTTTCCATGTTCGTTTTTCTTTCCCTCTCTATTTTTTTTTGTTGGCATTGCAACCTGCAGCACAAGACAAAAAAAAATAGGAGGGGAATTCAATAAAATAACGCTTTCCAACTGGCCAAAGTGGAGAGATGGAAAGTAAAGTAAAGTTTTCCCGGGGACAATTTTCGTGAAATTTGTACGGCCACGCCCCCTCCTGGGGGAGGGGAGCGAAAAGAGTGTGCGTCTCTACGCCATTTTAGCATTAAACTTTAACAATGGACGCTGGCGCGTGTGAAAGAAAGGAGCGAAAAGAGCGAAAGGAGCCACAGGAGCCAAAGGACGAACGGAAGTAAAAGAAGCCGCAAAAGTATCCGAAAACGAAGGCAAAGAATTGCGGAAAAAGGAGGCAGTGGTGGGTGGTTATTTGTACCCAAACTGATCTACTCTTGGTGTAGCTCAAGTTCTCGTCCTTCCTTCGTATATACATATATATTTCTATATATATCCTATATCCTACATCTGTAGCTGAATCTGTCTCCATGTGTAAGCGCGTGCGTTTATCCTGCTTACAGCTGCACAGATAAACATTTTCGTTGGAGGGACACAAAATAAGAAAAGCGACAAGGGGTTAAGGATTCCACATCCTCGGGCCGCTGCCTTGCATCCTTTTCGCATCCTTTTCTGTGTGACTTTGCAGACTTTGTCTGGCTTGCACTTGGAAAATGTTAAATTTCACAGCCAACATATGCTGCAGTTCTTTGTAAGGGCGTGGTCAGAAGGGGGTTTTCTACTAGGATATATGGTATTATTTTATTATAATTACTCCTTAATCATGAGTAGAACCAAGAGAAAATTTGTATGAAAAACTTCTAATTGAAAAATATAAAAGAAAACAAACCCTTTTGCGGCCGCCCCTGCATCATCTCTGGCACAACTTACTATTATCGCAAGATAAATGCCAGTTCCACATAACTAAGACTTACCCAGAGTCCTGGGCTCCGCTTGCTCCACACAGCTGCTGGCAGGATGCTCGACTGAGTCCAACAAAGCTGCTAAGCCGGCAGCAAGGGATAAGCAGTGGAAAGAATAAGGGGGAGCAGGAGGAGCAGGAGGAGGAGCGGTCCTTGCAATGGAGCGAACCTGCATAACTGATGGCATCCACCAGATGCAGGCCTCCTACTGCATCGGGGACTCTGCATCCTTGGCATTTGCGGCATCTCCTCCAGAGGAGGACCCGGAATTTTAATAGAGCAAATTTCAACAACAAGCCTTGGAAAAATGAGAGCAAATGGGAAATGCGCAGCGTTTTATTCCGCGCTGGTAATAAAACTTCAAAATGAAGTTTAGAAAACTTTTTAAATGCCTTGCTCCTATAGGAGATGGACGACAGGACAGGACTCCCTCCGCACCATCACGCAAAAGGAGGCAAAAAATTATATATATAAATAAAACAGGCCATAATAACGATGATGACGCCTACAACACAACGCCCCCACGAATGCTACCACGCCTCGTTCTCCTTGCTCCGTTCCCAGTTCTGGCCATGTCCTCCTGGCAGGATCTTCGCGCAAAATGCTAAACGGGCCCCAAGGACCAACTCGGCCGGCTTTTTGCAAATTTACGATTATGATTATTACAAGTCGACGTCTTCTCCTCCCCCCCCCCTCCTCGTATACGAGTGGGTGTTATTCCTGTGGAATTGCCTGGGAAGGGGGCCCTGACATTTGGACAGCTGCTGTAGGCAGGACGAGCCCGAGAACAAGGAGCACACGGAGGAGCAGTGCCAAAAGAATGCGTCAAGCCACGACTGGAGGGGGAAAGGGGAGTCAGGGACTCAGCTGAGGACGAAAAAGTTGTGCCAAAGTTATTACAACTCTTAAAGATGCCACCGGGGGCGGGATGTATCTCAGGGATGTGCTGGGGCTGAGACATTGACCTCCAGTTGGACAGCGTCTGGAAATCGGCAAATTCCATGGGGCATAATAAACGTAAGATAAAAGTCAAAGAGGGACAAAAATTATATAATAAACTGTACACACAAAAATGAAATTATTGCAACGAGGGTGGGCCAGCTTAAGGCAGGGGGATGTTATCGGGGGATTCCTCGTGAAGCTAGCAAATAAAACTTTGGGATGTGCAAGCATTTCGCGGTGTTTCGTAACTTCGTTTGCCAGAGTTTGCTTTCTGCAGCAAATATTGTAGAATGAAGTTTGGGGTTGAATTTTGTGAATTATGCTTGGGTTAAAACAGCAGAAACTATTGAGGAAAAGGTAATCCCATATTATTTGAAGTAATAAGTTCTAGGAAAATAAATATTATGTTGTGGAAACTATCAAAAATCAGTCTCCATATTTATTTATGACCTTATTTTATAATACCTTAAAAATGTAGAGTATTTAAAATATTACTCTACGAACCTTGAAGCGAACTTGAAACATTTTTTGTGTGACCCAAGAAGGGAGATCGACAACACAAAAAAAAAGAAGAGAGCTTCTCTTGATACTGTTAAAATAATACCCAGATTTTGAGGCTGGGTTGCCGTAGACACACCTACACCCAGAACACGTACACACACTCGCAGGCACAACAATAAGTCAGGTATGCAGGGGGAAACCAAGGCACAGGGCGCTTTCGGCTTATCAAGTTGAGCGCATCAAATTCTCAAAAATAATATACCAAATCATAAAGGCATGACGATGAGCAATTTACCAAAAGCCAAAGCCAAATACTGGCTGGAAAAATGCAGAGAATAAGCATGAGGAGGAGCAGCGAGATTCAAATCAAGAACGTGCCCCGAAACGAGGAGAAGAAGGCGATTATATACGTATAAATAGGTATACTTTCGGTAAAAACAACAAACTAAATGATTAATGATGAACCGCTTTTGTCTGCTCAGCTCGGAGCGAGCATTTCATTTTCACTTTTCCCTCAAAGTCCCAGTCCCAGGCAGCAATTGAAAACTGAAAATGTTATTTTTCAACTTGAACTTCGATGGCTTGTAGCCTGTAATCACTTTGTCATTGCCATCATTTCTCAGCAGCATCAATTGTTCGCTCTCGACACAAATTCACTTCAGAACCCGAGGAGGAACCAGCTCTTGGAGCGTCTCTAATGGAAATTGAGAGATATGTGTACAAGGGGGCCACATCACAAATGTATCTGGCAGTCGATGTGGAGTGGACTTCCCTGGAATTGGCCTCGAACTTGGCCCCCTTTCAGTTCCCAATCGCGGCCGAACATCAAAGGGTAAAATGAGCAGACTAAGCAGCACCTAACAGAGAAGACAGGATTCGAAGGAAATACGATGCATAATATGTCATTGTAATCCAACTTAATCTATGAACGTTTCTTAAGAGAGAGTCGTCCAGTTTTTAAGAGCAACCCAAGCGTCAAGCCAGCCTTGACCATGGAAATTAACCCCAATCCAATCAATTTCGAACCTTGAATGTCACAAACACAAAGATTGGGCTTAGAATTTAGTTCTGGTGTTATTCATAGTTGAAACTCCAACCACGATGTACTGGATTCTTGCACCGCTTATGCTGGCCACCGTCGCCTTGGCGCAAAGGTCGAAAAACATTATAATAAACACTGAAACTAATGGCATAGATGATGCAGCGGGAACAGCTTCTGTGCCCGACAAAGGATACATTACGGATACTGTCGTCGGACCCGGTGGTCCCTCCATGAAACCACCAAAAGGACTGCCATCGACAGGAGGTCTCATTACTATCACCAGTAACAGCAATGTGACCAATGGCAATCAATCCAATGTGGTTAGCACCAAGATCCAGGATATACATTCGACGATGGCCCCCCTCCACCTGCCACCTCATCGTCCACATCCTCGGCCAGAGTCTTTCCAACCACCTAGTAGCCTTGACTCCTTGAATCCTGTACATATTAAACCAATTGCTCCCATAAACCCATTCCCAGGTCGTACCTTGCCAAGGGACGATTCGTTATATGATTATTTGTATTCCCCTTATCCAAGGAGAAGTGATAGTAAGAATGATGAAGATAATATACTACATGAACGCAGCTCTGAACATTAAGAGCAGTTTAATAAAAGTTAGTCCCCAAGGGGGAGAATTTCAATTGCATGTTTAACAAAATATAAAACGCATTTTCTGAAACTTAACCTTTAAGCGACTTAAAGCCTGACTAACTGGCGATTTAATGCTTCTGCTTCTGCTTCTGTTTATGTAATCACTATTTGTAAACTTTAGGAACTCACCTCGTTTTGATTTCGCGGCTTGCCAATTAGCCCGTTTGGAATGTTCACTTGACTTCTCCTTGTGTTCAATGCGGTTTTTATGGCTCTAACAGTGGTTGTTCCTGCTGTTGCTGCAGATGTTGCTGCTGCTGCTGTTGTTGTTGCTGCAGATGCAATGCCTGGCTGTTGTCCTTTCACGCGGCGACAACGCGGCGTAGACGTAATCCACAACTTGAGTACCGTTTAGTGGCCGCTGTTTCTGTGCAAGGATAACGGTAATTAACCCGTCGGGGTCGCCTGGTCGCATTGCCGGCTCCTCTCCACTCGCTTGACACTTTTTCAATTTTCTCTCTCTTATTATTTTCTTTTTTGCTTCTTCAACTCAGCTGGGCACACTCACACACACTCACTAACTACAACACACTCTTGGCCACACTCTTCACTATGCGCTAATTTTTTTTGCTTTGAGCCGCGATTGCATTTGCTTGGCTTTTTTACACTTTTTGCCTGGTCGGCCAGGCGCGTTGTTTTTCTTTTTTATTTTTTTGTAAGAGAAGAAAATTCCAAGACGACGACAACGGCGATGTTCTTTACGTGTGTTTGGCTGGCTGGCTCTTCTTTTTTTTTGTTGTATTCAGAATTTTTTCCTTTTTTTTTTAGCCGGCTCTGGCGCTCCAGCGGCAGCAGCTCTTCCGCCAGAAACAAGCTTCGGCGGAGCCAAGCAGGTTGACCAGGTTGCAGGAGGCGAAGATGCAGTTGCCGAAGACGTTGCAGGGGCGCGGCAGCAGGTACAATCTGCAATCTGTTTGTGGCATTAAATTAGTGAACCAAGACCGTTCCGACTTGGCCAGATTTGTTTATGTGCCGTTCTCACTCCTAGCACCACTCCACTCCCCTCACACTGGCTATGCAAATTGCTGCAGTACGAACAGCTCAATTAACGCGGAATTTTTGGGGTTTACGGAGACGGACGACTGTATAGGTTGGTACGGTACGGTACGGTCAGAATGGGACCGTGGATCGCGTTCAGAGATCCTGTCATAACAATGTCATAAAAAGGGACTCGGGAAGCACTCGGATTCGTGGCTCTCTAGTTGCCTGGGGTGGGACGATGATGCTACGATGTCGCGAGTAAATGGCTGCCTGGGCTCCCGATCTCGTCTCGACACGTCTCGAACCGGTCTCAAGTATCTACTGAACGGCACGCACTGGGAACAGGTCCGCCGAGGCCCAAGGAACGCCAACGGAACGATGTGGAAGTGAACCACTCACTGGCTCAAGGCTCTCACTCAAGCGGGTTGAGTGGAAACTCAAAGTGGGGAATGGAACTCACTCACTCACCCATTCACTCACTCACTGGGAGTTTTAGGAGGCAAGTCGGTCAGGTGTTTAAGCCGCTGCCGCAGTTGCGTCCGTATCTAATTGTGAATGATTTATGTGGGTCGTCGGCCCCCGCCAGGCGGCATTACAATATACCGGGGGATATACCAGGGAGCATCATCATCATCGTACTCGGCACCATCACCATCACCAGGAACAGCAACACCCATGGTCGCAGAAAGAAAGTGCCATGAGCCGATGCAGTTCATGCCATCGAAATGAAAATTCAGATTCCCCAAAAGAGGGGGGCTTTTTCTTCTTGAGGCTGCAAATGAACAAAACACGGAGAAAAAAATTAAATATAAAGTCGAACTGCTCTAAAAATATTTGAAATATGAAATACATTTTTTAAAGAGCTCTAAAATATTTTTAAACTTATTTTGATAAACGAATACTAAAAAACCTTAGTTCTTTTTTAGGAATCGATTTTTAGCACAAATTTCATATAAAAATATTGATAAATATCGACAAAAAATGGTATTTCAATTTTAGTCAGAAGCATTAAACGCAGTGAAGGAGTCATTTCCGATCCTATAAATCATATATATTCTTGATCAGCACTTTCAGCTGAATTTTTCTAGCCATCTTGTAGAGAAAAACATTTTTTCGATTTTTCCAAATTTTTAAAAGGGGTTACATCTTTAAAATTGTTAAAAATTGGCAAAAAAAAATTGCATCTTTTAAGATTGTAAATTAAGTATGCAGCTTTATTAAACTAGTAAAAACTAACACAGCACCGCTGTCCGAATTTAAATTAATGCCTTTTTGGCCTAGATATGAGTTTTTTAGGATTCGAATTTTAGGACCAATTTTCATATAAAAATATTGATAAATATCGACTAAATAATGGTATTCCAATTTTAGTCAGAAGCATAAAACGCAGTGAAGGAGTCATTTCCGATCCTATAAATCATATATATTCTTGATCAGCACTTTCAGCTGAATCTTTCTAGCCATCTTGTGGAGAAAAACATTTTTTTCGATGTTTCCAAATTTTTATAAGGGGTTACATCGTTAAAATTGTTAAAAATTGGCAAAACAAATTGCATCTTTAAAGATTGTAAATTAAGTATGCAGCTTTATTAAACTAGTAAAAACTAACACAGGGCCGCTGTCCGAATTTAAATTAATGCCTTTTTGGCCTAGATATGACTTTTTTAGGAATCGATTTTTATCACAAATTTTCATATAAAAATATTGATAAATATCGACTAAATAATGGTATTCCAATTTTAGTCAGAAGCATTAAACGCAGTGAAGGAGTCATTTCCGATCCTATAAATCATATATATTCTTGATCAGCACTTTCAGCTGAATCTTTCTAGCCATCTTGTGGAGAAAAACATTTTTTTCGATTTTTCCAAATTTTTAAAAGGGGTTACATCGTTAAAATTGTTAAAAATTGGCAAAAAAAAAATTGGCAAAAAAAATTGCATCTTTTAAGATTGTAAATTAAGTATGCAGCTTTATTAAACTAGTAAAAACTAACACAGGGCCGCTGTCCGAATTTAAATTAATGCCTTTTTGGCCTAGATATGACTTTTTTAGGAATCAATTTTTAGCACAAATTTTCATATAAAAATATTGATAAATATCGACTAAATAATGGTATTTCAATTTTAGTCAGAAGCTTGAAACGCAGTGAAGGAGTCATTTCCGACCCTATAAACCATATATATTCTTGATCAGCATCAACAGCCCAGTCGTTCTGGCCATGTCCGGTCAAAAAATAAATTTTTGACATTTTTCCGAAAATTGAAAATTTTATAAGGGGTTACATCATTAAAATTGCCAAAAACTGACAAAAAATTGAATTTTTTAAATTCGAAAACTGAGTATGCAGCTTTGTTAATCTACTAAGAACTAGCATAGAACAGCTTTCCGAATTAAAATTAATGATTTTTTGGCTTAGTTATGAGTTTTTAAACTACGATTATAAAAACAAGCACAGAACAGCTTTCCGAATTAAAATTAATCCAATTTCGGCCTAATTATGATGTCCGAAAAACTTTGATTTTTTTTAAAAAATGGTCTGTTTTTATACCTTTTTGAAGAATATGATTTAAGTCAGAAGCTTGAAACGCAGTGAAGGAGTCATTTCCGACCCTATAAACCATATATATTCTTGATCAGCATCAACAGCCCAGTCGTTCTGGCCATGTCCGGTCAAAAAATAAATTTTTGACATTTTTCCGAAAATTGAAAATTTTATAAGGGGTTACATCATTAAAATTGCCAAAAACTGACAAAAAATTGAATTTTTTAAATTCGAAAACTGAGTATGCAGCTTTGTTAATCTACTAAGAACTAGCATAGAACAGCTTTCCGAATTAAAATTAATGATTTTTTGGCTTAGTTATGAGTTTTTTAAACTACGATTTTTGAGGAAAATTGTCTGTTTTTATACCTTTTTGCTGGTTTTTATGATTTCAGTCAAAAACTGACAACAGGTTTAACAAACGCAGTATGCAGATTTGTTAGTGCAATAAAAACAAGCACAGAACAGCTTTCCGAATTAAAATTAATCCAATTTCGGCCTAATTATGATGTCCGAAAAACTTTGATTTTTTTAAAAAATGGTCTGTTTTTATACCTGTTTGAAGAATATTATTTAAGTCAGAAGCTTGAAACGCAGTGAAGGAGTCATTTCCGACCCTATAAACCATATATATTCTTGATCAGCATCAACAGCCCAGTCGTTCTGGCCATGTCCGGTCAAAAAATAAATTTTTGACATTTTTCCGAAAATTGAAAATTTTATAAGGGGTTACATCATTAAAATTGCCAAAAACTGACAAAAAATTGAATTTTTAAATTCGAAAACTGAGTATGCAGCTTTGTTAATCTACTAAGAACATAGAATAGCATAGAACAGCTTTCCGAATTAAAATTAATGATTTTTGGCTTAGTTATGAGTTTGTTAAACTACGATTTTTGAGGAAAATTGTCTGTTTTTATACCTTTTTGCTGGTTTTTATGATTTCAGTCAAAAACTGACAACAGGTTTAACAAACGCAGTATGCAGATTTGTTAGTGCAATAAAAACAAGCACAGAACAGCTTTCCGAATTAAAATTAATCCAATTTCGGCCTAATTATGATGTCCGAAAAACTTTGATTTTTTTAAAAAATGGTCTGTTTTTATACCTTTTTGAAGAATATGATTTAAGTCAGAAGCTTGAAACGCAGTGAAGGAGTCATTTCCGACCCTATAAACCATATATATTCTTGATCAGCATCAACAGCCCAGTCGTTCTGGCCATGTCCGGTCAAAAAATAAATTTTTGACATTTTTCCGAAAATTGAAAATTTTATAAGGGGTTACATCATTAAAATTGCCAAAAACTGACAAAAAATTGAATTTTTAAATTCGAAAACTGAGTATGCAGCTTTGTTAATCTACTAAGAACATAGAATAGCATAGAACAGCTTTCCGAATTAAAATTAATGATTTTTTGGCTTAGTTATGAGTTTTTAAACTACGATTTTTGGGGAAAATTGTCTGTTTTATACCTTTTTGCTGGTTTTTATGATTTCAGTCAAAAACTGACAACAGGTTTAACAAACGCAGTATGCAGATTTGTTAGTGCAATAAAAACTAGCACAGAACAGCTTTCCGAATTAAAATTAATCCAATTTCGGCCTAATTATGATGTCCTAAAAACTTTGATTTTTTAAAAAAATGGTCTGTTTTTATACCTTTTTGAAGAATATGATTTAAGTCAGAAGCTTGAAACGCAGTGAAGGAGTCATTTCCGACCCTATAAACCATATATATTCTTGATCAGCATCAACAGCCCAGTCGTTCTGGCCATGTCCGGTCAAAAAATAAATTTTTGACATTTTTCCGAAAATTGAAAATTTTATAAGGGGTTACATCATTAAAATTGCCAAAAACTGACAAAAAATTGAATTTTTTAAATTCGAAAACTGAGTATGCAGCTTTGTTAATCTACTAAGAACTAGCATAGAACAGCTTTCCGAATTAAAATTAATGATTTTTTGGCTTAGTTATGAGTTTTTTAAACTACGATTTTTGGGGAAAATTGTCTGTTTTTATACCTTTTTGCTGGTTTTATGATTTCAGTCAAAAACTGACAACAGGTTTAACAAACGCAGTATGCAGATTTGTTAGTGCAATAAAAACTAGCACAGAACAGCTTTCCGAATTAAAATTAATCCTATTTAGGCCTAATTATGATGTCCGAAAAACTTTGATTTTTTAAAAAATGTCTGTTTTATACCTTTTTGAAGAATATGATTTAAGTCAGAAGCTTGAAACGCAGTGAAGGAGTCATTTCCGACCCTATAAACCATATATATTCTTGATCAGCATCAACAGCCCAGTCGTTCTGGCCATGTCCGGTCAAAAAATAAATTTTTGACATTTTTCCGAAATTGAAAATTTTATAAGGGGTTACATCATTAAAATTGCCAAAAACTGACAAAAAATTGAATTTTTAAATTCGAAAACTGAGTATGCAGCTTTGTTAATCTACTAAGAACTAGCATAGAACAGCTTTCCGAATTAAAATTAATGATTTTTTGGCTTAGTTATGAGTTTTTTAAACTACGATTTTTGGGGAAAATTGTCTGTTTTTATACCTTTTGCTGGTTTTAATGATTTCAGTCAAAAACTGACAACAGGTTTAACAAACGCAGTATGCAGATTTGTTAGTGCAATAAAAACTAGCACAGAACAGCTTTCCGAATTAAAATTAATCCAATTTCGGCCTAATTATGATGTCCAAAAACTTTGATTTTTTAAAAAATGGTCTGTTTTTATACCTTTTTGAAGAATATGATTTAAGTCAGAAGCTTGAAACGCAGTGAAGGAGTCATTTCCGACCCTATAAACCATATATATTCTTGATCAGCATCAACAGCCCAGTCGTTCTGGCCATGTCCGGTCAAAAAATAAATTTTTGACATTTTTCCGAAAATTGAAAATTTTATAAGGGTTACATCATTAAAATTGCCAAAAACTGACAAAAAATTGAATTTTTAAATTCGAAAACTGAGTATGCAGCTTTGTTAATCTACTAAGAACTAGCATAGAACAGCTTTCCGAATTAAAATTAATGATTTTTTGGCTTAGTTATGAGTTTTTAAACTACGATTTTTGGGGAAAATTGTCTGTTTTTATACCTTTTTGCTGGTTTTATGATTTCAGTCAAAAACTGACAACAGGTTTAACAAACGCAGTATGCAGATTTGTTAGTGCAATAAAAACTAGCACAGAACAGCTTTCCGAATTAAAATTAATCCAATTTCG